TTTTCGTATCATCAAGGTTGTGCGGATATTAAATTGACTCATTTGTGTTTCGCTGATGACTTGTTTATCTTTTCTAAAGGAGACATTAATTCGGTGGAGATTATTAAACGTGGTTTACAATTGTTTGAAAAACGATCGGGCTTAGCGCCAAGTCTGGAGAAGAGTGAAGTGTTCTTCGGGAATGTGTCAATGGAGGATCAGTGCCGTATTCGTGAAAGTTTATCTTTTCGGCCAGGGGTGTTCCCTATTCGCTACTTAGGCATCCCTTTTTCTCCGGTTCGTCTAAAGGTACGTGATTCTAATCCCCTTGTGTTAAAGATTAAATCTCATTTGTTAAATTGGAAGAACAAATTCCTCTCTTATGGAGGGCGTCGTCAACTCATTATCTCTGTTCTCCAATCGATGCAAACGTTTTGGATGTCGGTATTCCTTGTACCGGCAGCTACGATTCATGAAATTGAGAAGCTTTTTCGTAATTTTTTATGGAGTAAAGCGGAGGGACAGAGGGGTAAATGTCGTGTTGCTTGGGATTCTATTTGCTTGCCTGTTCAGACGGGGGACTTGGTTTGAAAAGACTTGCGACCTGGAATAGGTGTCTCCTTTTCAAACATATTTGGGATATTTTGAGGGAAAGAAATACGATGTGGGTCTCTTGGATTCAYTCTCACTRTGTTCGGGGCCGTAACTTTTGGGTTATCAAGAAGAGGAATGAGTGGTCATGGATCCTACGGAGTCTTTTAGACTTAAGACCTCATTGCCGACGCTTCTTTATCTATGATGTGGGTAATGGYTTATCGACACATGCTTGGGAAGATACATGGAGTGCGTTGGGACCTCTTATCCATTCTTTGTCTTATAGATTTATCAATGGGCATGGTTTCCACAATAATTCCACGGTTTATGATGTAATGCACAGGTTTGGTTCAAATTGGCCGGAGGATTGGATTCAATGTTATCCTCAACTGCAAAATGTCCTTATTCCATCTCCCAATCAAGTGGAGGATAAAGTTCGATGGATTGATAATAAAGGTGCTCGGGGAGATTTTCAGGTAAATGTGGCTTGGAAGACTATACAAGAGGTAACTCCGGTTGTGCATTGGTATAAACTAGTTTGGAACAAAGCTTTCATTCCAAAACATGCTCTTTGTATGTGGATGGCTTGCTAGAAGAAATTGCCAACCCAAGATCGTATCAGTAAGTGGAAGCATGAACCTCCGGATTTAAAGTGTGTGTTCTGTAAATTAGTGATTGAAACGCACAATCACTTATTTTTTGAATGCTCTTATTCTAGYAGTATTTGGGAAGGCATTAAAATGGAGGTGGGTTTAACGTCTTATCCGAACAATTGGGAGGATATTCTTCACAGGGGATCCGTTCAAACTTGGAAATCTTGGTCTACGGTTCAGAAACTTGGTTTATCGGCAACAGTTTATAATATCTGGAGGGAACGAAACAGGAAGTTCTTCGACAATTTCAATCATTCAGAGGATAAAGTTATTGCGGTGATCAAGATGCAGATTCTTCATCGAATGGCTTGGAAGACTAGGAAGAAGATTATGAATTCCAATGATATGTGACTTCGTGGGTGGTGCTCCTTCTCGGTTTTGGTTCTTTTGGGTTTCTCTTGCCTTTTGTATTTTGGCGGATGGTGTTGTTTTGTTTTGGTGTATTTCCCTTTGTCATTTTTGGCTTCTTATGACTTGGTTTGTGAGTCAAAGTTACCGTAGTTTCTCTTGCTGATTGCTTTTGTTTTGGTGACGCTTTTATTGTCTTTATAAAATTGCCTGGGGAATTCCTTTCCCCTTTCAGTAGACTCTTTCTGTTGACCGGTTTGACTTTTTCTCTCTAGAGTTTTGTGTTCGGCTAGGGTTTGACATCGGATCTGCTGCTGTCGTCGATCATCGTTATTCGTTTGCTGCTTCGTTGTCTTGTTGCTGTTATCGAGGATTGCATCTGTTTTGGTGGCATTCGTTGGCGTCCTTTCTCCATTAGAGTTTTGACGGCGGCGGCTCTTTGGCTAGGGTTTGACGTCGGATCTGCTGCTGTCGTCGATCATCGTTATTTGTTTGTTGCTTTGTTGTCTTGTTGCCGTTTTCGAGGATTGCGTCTGTTTTGGTGGCTTTCGTTGGCGTCCTTTCTCCATCAGAGTTTTGACGGCGGCAGTTCTTTCAAATCAGGTTTGCCTTCGTTTGAGTTTTGGTTTGTGCCGATCTAGCTGCTGGTTATTATTTGGTGCTGGTTAGTAGGTTGGTCTTGGGTGTAAGGGTGGGGCTGCCGGTGGTATGTTTGTGTGGCTAGGGTTTGTATGTTTTTCGGCCTTAGGGTTTTGCATGCAATCGTGTTTTTGGGGGGTTGTTTTATCATCGTTTGTTTTGGTTTTTGTTGCTGCTGTTTTCTTCATTCAATCGTGCGGGTTGCTGCTGGTATTGCTCGTGGATTGGACTACCGATTGGTTCTCTAGGGATACGTTTTCAATTTTGACGGCTAGGGTTTGCATGTGGTTGTCTTCACGACTAGGGTTTTCTTGTGGGCTGGTTTTGTCTCTCTTCGCCTGTGCTTTTTGTTGCTGTTTTGGTCTTATTCGTGTTTGGTGTTTGGTGGTGTTTTCTTGTTTGGAGACAATATCTAGTTTATTTTTCCCGCATCAAGTGTTTCTGTGGTCTTCGTCTCCTTTTGTTAASCTTATTRATAGARTATTCAGCACCTTTTCTAAAGGTCTTCGTCTACTTTATTGAGACTGTTTGACAAGGGATTCAGCACCACGGCTTCTTGATTAAGGGTCTGGTAAACTAGGTCTTCTTACTTTGGTAARGATGCCTGACTTTGCGGATGTTATCTTGGTGAATGATGCCTCTCGGGACTTTGCTGATGTAATCTTGGACGATACGGATGAAACTATTCAGAAGAAGGTCGGAGTAATTCCTGGTTCGTCTTCTAGGGTATCGGTTTGGGATCGCCTCTCCCCAGCAATTAGGGGTGATCATAGTGTGGTGCCTAATAAGTCCTTTGCAGAGATTGTGGGTGGTACTTCCTCATCAGATCTTACGTATTATCCGGTTGAGAAGAGTGTAAAACCGAAGATCAGTTTTCCCTTGGACGTTACAAAAGGTATGGCTAAATCCTTTCAATCAGTTCTTTATGGCTATTTTCTTGGCCCACGTCTCCCTTTTCCCATTGTTTTACGTGCGGTTCAGAATGCTAGGGTAAGATTCGGTTTTCGTGATGCTATGGTTAATGATTTGGGATATTTCTTCTTTCGTTTTAATGATGAAGGTGGGTGCAACCAAGTTATTGAGACATCCCCCCTCATGATTAGAGGGAGGCTGTTGTTTGTCTCCCTCTGGGATCCTTCCAAGGGTCTTCAGAAGCCTGAGCACATCTCTTGCCTGCTGTGGGTAAAGTTTTTTTAATATCCCTCTTGTTGCATTTAACAGAGAGGGTATCAGTCGTATTGCTAGTACTATTGGTGTCCCATTACGTTTGGATGCTTGTACTGCAAGCACTTGTGATAAAGTTTGGGGCCGAACTAATTTTGCTAAAGTWTTGGTGGATGTTTGGGCCGTGGGAGAAATTCAGAGGAATATTGAAGTGTTCATCCCAAGGTTGTCTGGTACGGGCGAGGATGTCATAACTGTTGTGCTTGAATATGATTGGATTCCCTCCCAGTGTTCGACTTGCAAGGTTTTTGGTCATTGCTCGGGATCATGTATGAAGGAGAATAATGCTAAGCAAAAGGGTTCTAATCCTTTCTCACAAAAAGGGGGGTTTAAAGATGTCAGACGCAAACAATGGAGACAAAAAGATAAATCTGAAGTTCGGGCTTCTTCTTCGGGTACGGCCTCAGGTAAGCAGGATTCTTTGTCTGGAGTTGGTACCTTAAAAAGAGTTCAGGTGGAGTCGAATTGCTTGGGTGACGATACAAATGATACACATGAAAACCTCCCATGCTCTGGGGGATTAACTAGTTCGGGAGAACCGGATGTTGGAAAGGTGACTGGTCAGTTCTGTACGGTTGATGCAGGAAGAACACCAAGGGGCAGAGAAGATAATCCAAATGTGAAAATCTTATCAAAAGATGAGCCGAAGTTAGTACAAAAGGTGGTCCAAGCCTTTAAACCAAGGAGAGGCGAGTATCATGCTTCGGATTCTGGTAATCGGTTTGCTTCTTTATCTTCTAACGATTCTAGTGATGATGATGACGATCTGGAGATCATTGACACCGAGGGGCACATTATGGGRAAACGAGGCGAGGCTGTCACTTTTTCATCGTCTCAATGATAAAGTTCGCCATGTGGAATATTAGGGGTTTAAATGCCCTTATCAAGAGGAAGGAGGTTCGTGATTTAATTCATCAAAAGCATCTTTCTTTATGTTGCTTAATTGAATCAAAAGTTACTTCTAATCACTTGGGGGATGTTTGTAGTAGTGTTTTTGGTAATTGGAGTTGGATTTCAAATGGTTCTATTTGTGAGCAAGGCGCTCGCCTTGTTATTGCATGGGACCCGTTAGTCCTTTCTGTTCTTCTCATTGAGCAGCACCATCAATATATCCACTGTGAAATTCGGTTTTTTGGTCATCTGGAGCCTGTTTTTATTACTTTTGTCTATGGGTGTAATACGGGTATGGAAAGGCGTGAGCTTTGGCGGGCGTTGGGCGAATTTCATGTGTTTAATCAAAGGAAAGCATGGGTTGCGATGGGTGACTTTAATTCTATGCTTTTCCCTCATGATGGGTTGGGAGGATCATCTAGGCGAAATTCTGACATGGAAGAGTTTCATCTTTGCTTGGAAGAGGTGGAATTGTTTGATATTTCWTACCAAGGATGCCAGTATACTTGGAWACYGAAAYCTTCGGGGGGAGAGGGTGTTATGCGAAAACTAKACCGTATTTTGGGAAACTCGGCTTTTGTCTCTAGATTTGGRGATGCTTCGGTGTTCTTTGAACCGAGGGGGATATCTGATCACTCGCCGGGCCTTCTTTCTTTTAAAGTTGGTAGACGTATTCGACAGCGTGGCTTTAAGTTTSACAATTTTGTGACTTCTCACAAKGATTTCCTTGGTTCTGTGGCGGAGGTTTGGACAAAACCTCAGAGAGGATCTTATATGCTGCAGGTTCTTTGGAAATTGAAAGATCTAAAGGTGGTTTGTCGGCGTCTCCGAAACACGTATGGTTGTTTGGATCAAAGGGTAATTCAGTTAAAGACGGAACTTGATGTTGCTCAGCTGGCTTGTGATCTTGACCCGTTTAACGACTTGCTTAAGGAAGACATTGCTCACCTCTTGTTAGCTTATCAAAAAGCTAGACAAGATCAAGTGGAAATGGCCCGTCAAAAAGCAAAGATTTCTTGGCTCAATGAAGGGGATGTTAATTCTAAATTTTTCTTTCATGCTATGAAAGAAAGCGCAATAGGAGCCACATTGCTACTATCAAGGATTCTTCTGGTGTTGTCTATGATCATCAGGAGGTACCTATTGCTTTTCTCTCACATTTTAAARGTATTTTGGGTACTTCAAATGTTTTGGCTWCTCCCTCTATGGGGGACTGTGAGTTTGGTAATTCTTTATCATTAT